AAATTATTTCAACAACTTCCAGTTGTCGTTAGAGTTTGATAGAGTGGACAGAAATGAAATTTTTGCGACTACAGCAATCATTAATTGAAACCAATTTTTTGAAATATTTTATTATTATCATTTACCTTATCTTCAGTTTACATTGTTGGGTGAATTATTACATTCAGGCTCAACGCAATCATCTTTCTATGACTTTAATTTGAAATTCTGCGTTTAATTCGTCACTGCCTTCGGAAACTATTCAGACACACCGCTTAGCTTAGCAAAACACCATTTAAAAATGAAAAAATATTTTAAAAGTCAAAAAATAAAGTTGCAGATAGAACATTTCTTCATCCAGCGCTGGCATTGATTGGAGGTGGATGAGCTCTAAACAATTACAATCACCAATTAGAAAATAAGTAGGTGGCACGAGTACTCTAATTTTTTTTTATAATAAAGTTTTGATGTCAAAAGTTCTTGAACGCTTCATTTATCTTACTTACTCTTGAGATTTAACAATTACATCAATTTAAATTTTAAAATACTCGATGCATTAAATCGTAATGTAAATTAGTGGTGCTCCTCGAGTTTCCCTGAAATAATTTAAAGAATTAGAGAAAACAGTTAAGGCGCTTTTATTTGCACTCTTGCACACGCGTATGTACAATAGTTTGAGCACACATACATAGAAACATTACGCATCGAACGCACTCTCACACAAGCTGACTTACTGCCTCGTGCATTTATACACTCATTTTGTTCCCGAGAATTATTCAAGTAGATAAGTGCTGCCGGTTAAACTGCAGCTTGCGTGTATTTTTTTCTCCTCTCTCCTTAATCCACCTTATAGGCTTGTAGCAAGGTGCTTCGCGCGCGTGCACGCACTAGCCCTCGAAATTTATGCGCGCAAAGAAATTTTCTACTACACAGACACGCAGACGCACACAAGCACGAGAGCCGCGCGTAAAGTATAAGTAACCGCAGCTCCGGAGATCAGCACCTCGATCTTTTGGCGCGCAAGTCGACGGCTATGCTAATCGCGTGCTTATGCTAACTGCTCATTAGGATTGAAATGCATTACATTTTTCGTTGCTACACACGCTCGTGAAAATTGGGCAAGGAATCACCTTGCCCCACATAATATCGCTTGACTATATCGCACCGGATGCGACATTATGTGCCTCTGACTCGGAGATCTACTTTAAGGATCTCGTTGCGATTACTTTTTTCCTGGTTTCGAGTAATTTTTCATTTCATAGATTTATAATACGACTTTTCTGGGGTGAGGGGTGAATTTATTCAAAATATATTTCATAATCATACGAGCGAGGTGTTACTAGGAGATATTATAGCTATATTTTCTTTTCATTATAAGACTACAAGGGTAAAGCGCACACACGAAGCAGTTTGCAATGGTCTATTAACTTTCGTTTCGTTATAAATTTTATAGTCACTTTAGGCGTTCGTTAAAGATTATTGTATTTTTTATATTACGTATAATATATATTATGCAGTTTCGTACATAATAGCTTGAAAGAAACTCATTTCCTACGAGTTCCGTAAATTGCGTTATTATAACAAGAAGATATAATAATGTGATGCGAGTTAAAAAAAATAATCAAACTTACAAGTATTTAAAAAACCTTATCGAAACTTATGAAATTTAAAATTCAATGAAATGTATGAACAGATTGCTTTAAAAAATTTTCTGAATCACAACATTGTCATCATGACATGCATTTGATAAGTTTACTTAAGAATGAGTTTCATTTTGTATATAATTATTTTATAATTTTTCAAAGCATTGCTATCTATTGACCTACTTTCTATCAAATCTTGCATAATGGCCAACTAAATGTTATTAAACAATCCAAAAAATCAACTCTAAAACATGCTAGAAATATAGATAAATATCGATTAAAGTTACATATTATGTGGATTTAATAGGCTTCACGAGTAGCTTGAATCGACTGTTCTTATACAATGATACCCTAGTCGTATACTTTTTAAGGTGTTTGTGTGATCATAATTATCACAGTAGTCTGATATACGCGGATACGATCTAAAATGTTATGATTATTACACTTCATTTCTAAATTTTTTCTTAAAAAGTCTGTTATCATGTATTTTTTAACACATTAATTAAATGATGAAAACTTTAGTTTTCTCATCAACAGTATTTTTATTACTTTCCTAACACAATTGAAAAAATTATAGCAATTTATCGTTCAACTTTCGACAAATTTTTATATGATTCTGTTTTAAAATATAAATTTTCAAATTAATTTTTTCCGAAATTAATTCGAAAACTCAACGTTAAAATTTTTAGGGTATACATAAGGCAATTCATTCAGAATATCCACCCGAAGTTTCACACCAGTACTACAACACGTTCGATACATTACCCAACAACCTTCAGATGACATTTTTTTGTTGGTTACTTGGCCAGAATTAGCTTTATTTTTTGAATTGTATGATGTTATTAACCTACTTATGTAAATCTACATATTGACATACACACAGACAATAAAGTTAATGGCTTGTTTTGGCTGCTGAATGGACGCTTTCTTCAAATAATTGAATGGGATATGAGGGAAAGTTTTGTTGTTTACTTCTATTGAATGTTTGACAAGAAGCGTGCATAAATTATTATCCAAAGATTAAACAAAAATTATTTTCTCTAATTTTGTTAAGGCATTTTAATTGATCAAAAAACCAGCTCAATTTTGAGACATTGGGCATGCTTCTAAGTTGAAATATCAAAATTTTTTCGTATTTTTTACATGATCTCTACTATAAATAATTGTTTATGATTAAATTACCAACCTTGAAAAGTTTATTTCGTTGGTTATTACTTATGGAAATGTATCAAATGTTCAAATGTATCACCTTTATTTTCATCTATTTTTGAAATGGCTTCGACATTTGTATAGTAAATGAATCAGTAATACATAAATCAGCGGTACAATATATTTTTGATTAAGGTAAGTCTGCTCTTAAATCGTAAATGTGCGCTAAACGCTAAATTTCACCCTCAGGGTATATTTACTGGAACCTTGAGATCTTTTTTACTTTAAAAAGTATGAGCGTTTCAAAAAGGCATACTCGCTTCGGTTTCGAACTGCGGAAATTCACGCGATAAGCGGCCGCGTGAGTACAGAGCAAGGGAAAGGTCGGCCGTATCTACATAATATAACGACAACGCACGCTCGGCGCGCGTCTGTACGGGTGTGTGTGGGTGTAGGAGTAGTAGATGAAAATTATTAGCAAATTCTCCTTGGGATCGCGTTCCAGCTAAGAGCCTCCATTACCGGCAATTTGCATTGATATAAGTGAGGCACCTCGGCAGAAAAGCGATCCAGGTAACACTTTGTTATTTGGCACCCTGTAATATTCAGCACGATTCTTGTACTTGAGCTGCGGTTCATTTACGTATCGACGTTCTTGAAAATAGTGTCAAAAATTAACTTGAGTTATTCTGCTCAATTTATATTATGAATATTTAAATACTCAATTTTGTCGTCTTATCAAGTCGTTGTTCAGAAAAATTCTCACATTCATTTATCGTCCATTTATAATTCTTGATCCCAATTAAGGCTAATTAGAATAATACCAATATGTGGCAGCTCAATTTTCTTAGAGAGATTTAAAGTACAGGTATGTCCTTTTTAGTAAAAAAAAAACGCTTTAATAAATTCACAATTTCGATTTTGTATAAACTAGTCGTAATAAGAAATTAATATAAGCGATCAATTACAACTTTATGGGCGATAAAAGCGTGCTTTTATCTGGATTTACGGTTGTATCTTAATATATATGATATTAATTAAAAATGCAGTAGATTTATAAAAGGTCTATTATAGATTTTCTTGATTCAGTTGATTCTTTTTAAAAAAGGACTCTTCGCTTTTCTAAACTTTTAAGCTATGAGCTAATGTTAGGCCTTTGATAAACTCATTATTTTGAAATTAGTAGTTATTGTTTATCACAGAAATTCTGATGAAATTTAAGCTTACTGTAATTGTAAGCAGGTGTTTTTTTCATTCCCGAGCAATGCCAAAAATCCCCCTCCTTTCGGACCACTTTACGCTCGGCTCTTTAGTTGCCTATATGAAAGCTGTTGGTCTAGAGTTTATGTAAAATAGACGAGTCCAAGTTGAAAGTGAGAGAGTGAGAGCGCCCCATGACACATGGAGCAATACCCTCGGACAAGGGAATTAGCAGAATATTATTATACGCGGGAAAATATCGGATCGACGCGCGTATAAGCATACACACACACATTATATCTCATAATACACAGACATATTAGATCTTACTTAGCGCGATAAGCGAAACTTGCATAATGCGACTTAATCGCTTTTCTCGTTGGACTCGCGCGCGATACATATTTTTCGAGTTGCGTTAAGGGGTCTGTCCTGATCTGACCAGTATATAAGCTTGGTCTTTGGCGGATAGGTACATATACTCGCGTACACATGAAAACCTTATCTATGTGACGAATCTTGCACCATTAGCTCGACGACGGTACGACCCCCTCGGTTCGCGCGCCCGCTCCATTTCCTTCTTTTTCACCCGTTACTGCATTCGCTCTCTCTCTCTCTCTCTCTTTTCTCGCTCGCTCTATCTCACTCTCTCTTGTGTATGCGTATGCTCGCGCTAAGCGGATTTCGTGCGTTGTGAATTGGTACGCGGCCTCGTATATGTGTGTGTGTGTACGTTTGCCATACGTCCGTGTAACGAGCAATATGCACCGTACACTCACTCTCACACACAGACACAGACATTGTTATCATAAATGTGATCTATCCGCTGAGCGCTTTAGATCGTTTGTGCGATTCCAATCGTTTACAGTGTCTACGTGTGTGTACGTGCAGTTTGGCTTGCTTAAAAGCTACGTAGTGCTAAATGCAGGGGGAAAACTCGAAGATCTATGCGCCTTGCATACTCGCCATATTGTACGCCGCTACTCGCCGCTGCTTATAATTTGCTTGGATTGAGATGATTAAACGCCTATGTAAGATGTATTATTTATTCATGTCCCTGAATTAATAAGGATTCGAGATTTATATTGCATACCGACTATAAAATACATGTCTTCAAAAAGAGAGAAATAAACAATATTGTGATCGTCAACAAACAAACTATATTGATCGCATTTGATTTTTCGAGCAAACACTACCACAATTTTTGAACAAACGCGGAAAATCTCTCAAATGCTCTGAACGGTGCTAGTATGTATATGACTAAGCAGTTCGACTCGACGCCAAAAGACGACCACGTACAGTTCTCGTTGATAATTGGCGTGCGTCTTTTCGCACCTAGTTCTTGAAACGAACCGCTGGGCGATCCATTCGACGATCCACTTGATGATTTACTGGACGAGCTATTGGACGATTTACTCGGAGCTTTGGTCGAGGAGCTGGGACCACTTGATTGGCTCATTTGCTGTCTACTCGGAGAACTATTTGTTGAGGGGCTGGATTGGCTTTCTTGCGGGCGTCTTGAAAAACCAACGGGCTCAATTACTTTTGTAGTAGAGCTCGATGACGGAGTTACGCTGGATAGCTGACTGATGGGCGCCGTCGAAGTCGTTTCGATGGGAATTACAGTCACGGGAATCACTTGCGGCCTCTCAATTTGAGTGGATGGCCCAGACGTCGATTGAGCCTTGACCGATTCGGTAATCTTCCGATATGAAAACAATAGATAAATCAAAATAACATCAATTAGAATTTAAATAGTTAGAGAAAGCTTTGTGGAGTTTCGTAAAATTATTACCACGATCAAAATTAGGCCAAATGTTATGACAATCCAACTATTCATTTTGAAAAAATTAATGTTATACAAAGTTGCTAACACAACTAGAACTGAGTATGGGTAAATAGTCTTTTTTGACTTTGACAGCGACTTATTAGCGTTCACCTTGAATGATAAACAAGCTCAATTAACCCGACGCAATTAAAAAAGTCGTGAAAGTGTTTTCCTTGTCAAATATTTATATATATAGAGTATTATATATTTTTTTTACTTCAAGTTACAACTTGTTCTGCTATTGATTAAGGGAAATTAATTCTAATGAATTAGTCGATGAAAGCTAGAAATAATTAGCCAAAAAAATTTGAACAATCCTCAAGTTCATTCAAGTTTGGATAATTGGTTCATGAACAATGTTACTTGAGCCATTAGGTGAAATAATTTGAATGCTCGGAATATTCGCAGGTGTCAACAAATTAGTGTATACTAGAGAGTAAATCGTTTACAAGAGCTAGTTGCAAAGCGATAAGTTTAACACTGGATAAAGCCAGCGCGCATATAAGTCGCGTGGCCTCGAGAAAGTTAGACCATATATAGCCGGTAATATAAGATGTCGTCTCGAGACTAAGAGTTTCTCTCTTCTCTTCTTGAAGTAGCTCTTGAAAGTCAAAGCTTCTCTGCTACTGCTTCTGTTCCACTGCTGCTGCTGCATGCTGCTTATAGTTGCGCTGCTGTTGTTGCTGCAGTGTCTCGGTCATTAGCATAGAAGCAGCGGTAAACTCGGCTAGCTTACCGAGCTAACAGCGTGTAAAATAACCGCTAAGTTGCCAAGACAATACTCCGCGACACTCCAAGGCTCGCTCGCTCCTCCGAGCTTCTAGACTTCCTTGCGCGCGTCTCGTATTCGCGTATAAACACACGCGCACGCACATCCACACAGCCATATATACATACGTGTATGTGTAAAGCTAGGTTTATAAGGCCAAGAAATGTACCGGGTATAACCCTTGTGCCTTAGTGCATTGCATTGTCTTCTTCGCGACTTCCGCTTTTTCGAGCGTCGCATATATATAGGCATAAAGCCCAGGCAGAACAACTCGGCTTCTTACGTCAGCGGACGCGCGATGACAAAGATACTCTTTATATACGTCAGGAGACCGTATAAACCCTCCGCGTGGCGAGTAATTTTCGGCCTTTTTTGTCACTTTCATGCAGCAATATAATTAGCAGTAGCGAGCGCTACAAGAGCGCTCGAGAGTAATCTTTATTGCAACATTTTACACCGGCACACGCAAAAAAAAAAGAAAAAGAAAACGCTCGCCGATTTCGTTTTAATTGCGTCGTTTATATACGCGACAGTTGCTCGCGAGGGCGTGCGTATGTAATGTATGTAAGCGTCTTGCAGCATTATACCCAAGCTTCGCTGAGCAAAGACAATTGCCCCCGGGTGGCTATATACAGCGGCAGGTGTGAAAAAAAGTCGTAGATAAGCTGCTCGGGTGTTTTTCAGGAGCATAATAAATAGACACGACTGCATTAACCGGGCAGGCATTTACTTGTAAAAGGAGAACGGGTCTCGAGTCGTAATTGCGTTTGCCAGCGCGAGCCAGACTCGAACTGTTTCAAGAACTGCGAAATTGTACAACGAGGACGGGAGAGGGTCCGCAGTCAACAACTTGCAACCATTGACACAGTGAAAGAGAAAATCGTCGTATCGAGAAAAATTATCGCGGCAAAAAATGTCGAGAAACCTCGCGAGCTGTAGGCCAGGGCAGCATTGCAAAATCAGACTGCACTTACTGTACAATACTTGTTCGTAGCGGCGAGTGTAATTTACCATGTCATTTTCGTCAAAAAACGTACCCTCGCGCTACGTGGAACGAGGCAAAAATATACAATAAATGAGAGTCATTTAGTCAAGAGCGGAAAAGCGCGGTAAAAACGAGGCGACTTATAAGCAATTGGTCTGCGTATATGTTATATATTTGTGGGTGTATGCGTCGGTTCGTGAGCGAGCAAGCGAGCAGCAGCAATCATCAAACGAACTCTGACTTTATATCCTTGCGTGGATGTATGCACGTGTGTTAGTGTTGGTGTGTGTTGTGCACGTCTGTGTGCGTACAAACATACGACCCCCTTCAGAATTACACACGCGATCCTCTTGTTAAGTGCGTTATACTCCGTTAAAACCGACGTAATGTTACGCCGCAACGACACAGGCACACACGGTACACACACACTCACACACACACACACGTTCGCACGCAGAAAAAAATAGGCGACTCATTACGCCTGCACATACGTCGCAAAAGCCCGATCAAGATAACGAACAAACGTGCCATTGCACGACAAAGACGACGTGGTCGATCACGACGATTGCCATTTCACGTATATTACCTGTACCCTACACGTATTATACGAATGTGTGTAACACACGTGCGGTATTTGCTTTGGATTGCTCCGGCCGCGCGGCAGATTGGTCGGCAACCGACGTATATGTTAAAGGAAAATCAGCTGTACATAACTAGCCGCTACGAATAACAAATTCGACGAAGACGGCCGACGCAGATAGCTACGCACTCGCCGCTGCCCTATTATTTTATTGCGTACGCGTACTCCAGTTAACTCCATATACATCTAATTTATTTGCGTATGTATAAGTTACGCACCCAAACGACGTTATTACGAATGCATGTATAAAAGTATTAAAAAGAAATCATCATAATTTCTTTTCTTTTTTTTGCATGTGGCGCATTGTTATACGTCGGTTTGCATGCAGTAACGAGGCTGTAACTGCGCGTGTATACAAGTACCTGTGACACTGTTCCACTGGACACATTGTGAGCTCTTCTTTCTCTCTCTCTCTCTCTCTCTCTTTTGCACAGAAATATTTCGATATGGACATGTAGTGCGCACGTAAAAGCGCGCGCTTATACAATGATGGCAATAATAAACAAGAAAATAATAATAAACGCAGCGAGAGCTCGTCGACGCATCAACATAAACTACATATAGGTACATGTGTATATACATAAAATATAATGAGGTGGATTGCGTAAATTCGTTGGTGAATCGGCGTCACGAAACGCCGCGCTGCAGCTATTTATGCGAGAGACAAGAGGAGACCCATCTGTTAAGCTCGTTATACTTTGTATTATTAAAACGCTGTGATTCTCCAGGCTGTGTATATGTATGCCCGAATTTGTGCGTGTATGTGTGTATTTGCTCATTTATAAATTGTACATAATAATAGGGCCCGAAGAGGAAGCAGCGTGCGGTTACCTAAAAAGCGTTAAACGCGCTCGCGCAGCTCGACGAGAACTCGCACACATACACACGCGCCTCTACGGCTTTTTCTCCGTACGTAAAAAATCGAAATGAGCTTATGTGTATCTTACCGTTACAGGTGCCCTTTCGTAATCGTTTCCGGACTAACGTCGAATGAAATTCGACTTGCACGGAGACGATTTTTCAAAAGGCTCGCTTGACATTTTTTACCTTGTGGCGCAAGTCGTCTTGAATTCTATAGGGTTGCACGCCGGGTGATTCCTTTTTTTTTGTTTTAATCTAACAAATTAATATAGTTTTCACGCCGCAAAGCAACGAGTATTGTCAATTTTATTCGAAAAATTTTCTATGCGAACGGTAAAGTATTCGTCTTTTCATAAAAAGAAGTACATCCAAAGAAAGGTATTTGTTTCTTTTATTTATAATGTCTTATATAGGTGCCTGCAACGAGCTAACTGTGTGCACATGCGGTACTCTCGTCACCTCCAAGCGTTACCTTATTTATCCTAAAAAAAAGTTCTAATTCTTCACATCATCTCATTCAAGAGGCTCTTTGTTGCAGGTTGTATATAATAATAGCTGCGCAGTACCTTTCACGCCACCGGTAGACAGCCTCACGCTTCTCCTCTCTCCTTTTTTTAGCGCGCGGCGCGTAAAGAAGAGCGCAATTAAACCAATTATGTGCCGCGCGCAGCGTGGGGGAAAATGCCTTAAAAACTTCGGAGCGGCGCGGCTACGTTACGTAAGGTAATTGGTTATAGAAACCGAAGAAGCGCGAGGATTTCCTAAAACGATAATTAACGAGTTATTAAGCGCGCTCTTGTGGTTCGACGCCCGCGCGAGAGCCTTCGTTATATTGTATTATTATAATGCGTATAATACGACGATACGATGACGATGATGACGCTTTCTCACACGCTTATACGTGTGTGCGATAGTCCTGCAATGAAGGATGTCGAGTGAAATTTTATGCAAGCACACACGGGCGCGCGCCAACGAGCTCCAGTATAATATGAAACGCTCTTAAAGGCGATTTTTTGCCCGGGAGATTGTGCAAGTGTCATAATATTAAGAACGAATGTGCATTTCTTGCCTCATATTTTCGTGCTCGCTCGCTTGCAAAGTCACACACAGGCCATATAGAGCTCGTTATGAGAAAGCAGCGTGTATAGTCTTCACTTTGCAAGATATATAGACGAGCGATGCTCGCGCTTCTTTCCTGGCAACGCGTGCATTCGAACAAGTGGTGATTTCATATGAAAATTTCATTTACACGCAGTGCTGCGTACGCCTTAAATAAAAGAAGAAACAAGAAGAAGAGGTAGATCGGCTGCGTTGCAATAAAAGCAGATAACATTCAATTTTTTTCTTTTCGTTGAGTATGAGTGATAGCGTTATAATGTTACAGGTGGTTCTCACCCTGCACGCCAGCCAACAACAATGATGAAGACGTTCACCATCATCTGGATTTGTGCGCAATGCTTATCTAAGCCAACACAATATAGATCGCATCGTTCTAATTTGATGAATTCCATATCTATCACATTTTGAATTCCATGAATATATTTTTCGTACCAACACTGCAATCTCGGCGCGTAATTGCATTGGGTTTGGATCCAGTCCAAAAGCGACTCGTCTATTTCGGTCCAGTCGTAGATATTTTTAACGTTCGATCCCAGCTGGAAAAATTCTCAGTTCCAATCCGCGTCTATATATGCGTACGCCCGATGAATATTCGTGCGTTGCTTCGCTCGCGCGCGCGATCGCATTATATGAGTGAATATATGCGTTGCGTGAGATATCTCGCGCATTATAAGCCAGCAGACATAAAGTGTAAGTACAAGAGCAGGATGCAATTACACATACACGTGCGCAGCAGACGCACGCACGAGCGTTAGCTTTACTTACATAGCTTATCGCGCGCGGGCGAAAGGCGCCGCTTCTACAACGACGGAAGTGCACGTGCGAAATTTTCCTTACGTTATACACACACACACACACGTATATACCTGTATATATAAATATCAGAAGCATCTCTTCATTCCCCTTCCTTTTAGATATAACATAACGCTCGCTCGCGCGGATTTTAGTCGAACAAATGGATTTCAGCGCGCGCGCCTCATGCGCCTTGCACGGTGCGCCATGAGCCTCGAGGAGATCGATATCGAAGATACAAAAGTGTGCATGCAACTATCTCGAGTGTCAGTTCTACTTAATGCTTAAAATTTATGAGGATAGGAAAGAAGGCAGAAAAAGGGCTCGTCTCTTGTTCTTACCTTGTGAAGTGTTTATGCTCGCAAGGACGCACGAGTTTTGTATTTATCATGTACGCTGTGGGAGACGATTCTCATTATATGGTCGAATGTGCAGCAGCTTCTGCCTAGACATTATCGCAAATTCGAATTAAATGAGAGAGGTGAGATTGGCTGCGAGCTCTTATCGCGAATGCGCGCCACTATTTAAACTTTGTTATTTATAGAACCTTTATTTTTAATTCTTGGGAAAAAAGCTTATATTTATACTGTTCGTTGCGGCATCGTACACTTTCTTCCTGCAATCACTTTTCATTCGAACTAATTATTATATAAACTACTTTGTTGCATTTATTTTTTCAATAACACGCTATTCACTTGGGAGATTTATGAGCATTGAAATGTAAGATATTTTTGAGTACAGAGATTCATATAGAGATTAATACTTTGTTCTTGGACCCAATTAATAGTATATTTTTTGATGGGTGCAGTTATTGCTTTTTAACAAAACCGGAATTTAAAACGAGTAATGAGTTTTGTTGATTATTTTTTCTCACGAAGGCCTTTAGCCTTTAGAATTAGCACGAAAGTTGCGTATTTTAAGTTGGAGTACAATAATCGCATTAATGCTTAGGTTTTCGTAAAAGGCACGCTGCGGAAAAAAGATGTGTTTTCACCTTATGTATGAATTATTTTTCATTTCGGTCGACAATGCGAAAATGATTCAATTGAGATAGATACGAACGCAAGCGTATATGAACGTTGAAATTTAAAGCGTGTGCAGAATCTCGTAACGCGCAGAAGGTAAAAATAATCGCTTACAGCTGCTGATAAAAAGAAACTAATGTACTTTCAGCGCTGGCGCGAGCAAAGCTTTATTATGAATTGCATAGAGAACGAGCGAGCGAGCAAGAAAGAGAGTGAGAGAGCATCGAGCGGCGGAGGCGCTAAAAGGTTGCAAGAGCTCTTTTATAATAACAATAACGATCGCGCGCGCGCAGTCACGGTAATTAGCGTTATGAATCGGAAGAAGCCGTGCGCACGATTACCAGTTTGGATAAGCGTGGATATACCGTGAAAGCGGCTATTATCCAAGTTTTTCAATCTTGCCCAACGCTTCATTTAAAACTTTCGTGTGTGAATCGTGCAAAAGTACTTCCCGGCAGTAATCGTTGTAAATTGTTAATTTTTAAAAATGATCCGTGTGACCAATCAATAAAACGCAAAAAAAGAGTCGACAAGATTATGAACTTCATGGTTTATTTAATATTACAATCGTGGTTTGCAACATCTTGGCCAGAAGTATCATTGCGAGTGCATATACATTGCCTTGGTATGTGTGTGATATATCTTGAGGCTCGACCATTGCTAGCAATACACGACGATCTCGAGAATCGTGATTGTCAGTTTGCAGCGAGATCGAAGAAGAGGGAGAGAGAAGGAGGAAAGCATGGCTGTCTCGTGTCTTTCCATTGGTCGACGTATAAATGATAATCACAGGTTTTCTCGATTCCCATGCACCACGTTTTATAGGTTTCACCATCCCAATGCCATGCAGTTATTTATCAATTCGTTTTCTTAGATCCTATTTATGACTTATGACTGAGTGTTTTTTTTTTAAATCATCCAACGATCTACAAAGATAAAAAGGTTAATGAGAGTATATTTTTATAAATATTATGCGTGAGATATTATTTTTCAAAATTTTATTTTCCGAATAACGATGGGTACATATTTTATGTTTTAATTGAAAAACATCGACTCAAACTTTATGTCTACACAGGATCAGCTTAAGCAATATATTTAAATTTAACGGCGATTCGTTTGAAACCGGCTTGTAGTTGCTTCCCCACTCCTTTCAAAGTTTCCACTGCTCCTTCAGATTTTTTTACAAATGTTTTACCACCCTTGGTTGCTAATTTACCAGTACCCTCTACTCCCTTTACGCTCTCCTTTATTATATTTTCGGGTATTTGGTAGCTTAATTTTATTACTCTCAAGGGTAATTTCACAGGTTGGATGAATGGGAATAAAGATGCTTTAATCGGTAATGTGATGGATTCTTTAACAAATTTCAATGAATACTTGAAAGGCAATTGAACCGCTTTATAAGCGTAATAATACACACAATTATTGGTTATTCTGAGATCAAACCATTTACATCCAGTTACTACTTTCTTAATTGTTGCAGCAGTTCCCTTTTCCACCTCGTTAAAAGTTTTTACTTTGGCAGCATTGCTAAATAATTGAAAGTAATTAGTGAATGTATGTTTTATTACACCAAACATTCTACTCGTAGCGTTTGTGAAAATTTTGATAAATCCAGTCGATACATTGATCATAGCGTGAAAACTTTCCGAAAAGCTGCGCTGGACCACGCCAGCTATTCCTTGCATTTGCTCACCATTCTCACCTTGTACAGCAGCGGACGATCCTTTTATGATATGAACAGCACGATTTATTTGAAATTTTGCGTTTTTAAAGGCCAATTTCGTATCATTTACAGCGCCAATTATCACATCGCTTTCTTCGGAGGCCGAATTAATAAAAGTTTCAGTGGCATTACTTACCAATGAATGTGAATGCCCTCCAACTCTTGAGCCACCGACTGTTCCACCTGAGCTTGCTCCGCCGCTGGAAGCTCCTGCCGTCAAACCACTTTTGCCTCCGACACCCTGACTAGAGCTCGTTTTAGCGGAACCTGCTGATTTTCCTGAAGCAGCGCTGCTGCTGCCGCCGCCGCCACTGCTATTGCTAGATCTTCTTACAATAGAACTGCCTTGTGCTTTGCCTCTTGCAGAACCGTTGCTACCAGGTGATCCAGAACCACCTCCAGACGCGCCTCCACTGCTCGCACCTTTCACTGCAGAACCACTTTGAGATTTTTCATTCGCAGAGCTTCTGTTGCTGGATGAACCTGCACTTCCGGATGCACTTCCACCACTACTCGATGACGACCCACCATGATTCGATCTCCTTCCAATTTTTAAAGAAGCTGAAGCTTGAACATTTACACCACTAGCCTCTGCAAGTTTATGTTCTGTTTTTACAGCTAATTTGGCACCTTTTTCTGTTGCACCATACACCGTATCATTTACAGCATTTTTTATGTGCTTTGATCCTCGCGACACAATATGTTTAGTTTCAGAAACCGATTGTTTAACTGCATCTCGTGTATCCACCAAAATCTTTTTTGTTACTGCTCCCGTTCGTCTGAACAAATCAACAGTAACTTTGTATGAATTTTTCACGCTGCGTTTAATTAAACGAGAGAATATCAGTAATCTAGATTTTGATATTAATTTATGGGATACGTTCACGTTGCCGTCGATTTCTACCTCAACAGATACATCAATTTTCCCGGAGAACAAACTGCGGATATCAGCATACATGTCTGTGAAAATTTTCCAAAACTCTGAATTTACTTGTACGACAGCATGTCTGGTTTGAGACAAAGAGTCAGAAAATACAAAGTATATTCTCTCTGTAATATGCTTCATTAATTTATAATATGCTACAATAACTGCGCTGGTTGAAGATGTTGTTTCGATGGTAGCCTCGTTGACTACTCCAGTTACTTCAGAACCAACTTTGTTCACCGATTTAGTGGTTGCAACCGTTGTTTTAAACACTACTTTGTTGACATAATTGACAATTTTTCCTACTACTTCAACAGGCCAACTCGTGATTTTAACTGATGCGTCAACTAATTTACGAACAGAATATCTCGTTTCCTTGAACGATTGTTCAGCGTCTGTTACTCTGTGACCCGTCAACCGCCCATAAAATTCTTTCCACATTTCTGTAGTAGTAGCAAGAATGGTAGTAGTCTCAAATTTAAATTGTTCTACAGTACTCTTATAATTTGATCTAAAATGTATCATTACTAATTCTGCTTCGGCTGTTAATGTTTCGTAAGTTGATTTTATATTTGATTTCATGTTCGTAAAGACTTTTTTATATCTTCGCAGCGAATGTGGAACACTATTCGCTGAAAGCGATGTAACATACTCAAAAAGCCTAAAAATCTTTCCTATTGTTGATTTAGACGAGTATAAGTGTCTTCCTACTCCACCATTCAATTCAAGCTCTAAAGATGCATCTACACTTGATCCTGTAATTATGCTACTTGAAGTAACGGTAGCCACCTTGATGATATGATTCATTTCTGATATACTTTCGACCACCGCATCTCTGGTATCAACAAGAGCTTTGGTTAATACTTTTACATTTAAAGTTGCTGAATGCCAAAAAACTTTAGTCCATCCGACTGTTACTTCGTTAATAGTATACAATGCCTTATCTCCAATACTTATAGTTCCCTTCATCAATTTTAAAGTTGCTTGCCAATAATCAGATGTATACTCAATAGTTTTATGGTAAGACAGTTTTATTACTTCAGTCGTCTCTTTTATTGGCCAAAAAAATAGTCTTATAATTTTTCCAACAGCTGTTTCAGTTTCGGCGGCATTTTCTGTAGACACGCCTATAGATTCGGCTGCAGCAGTTTTAATTTCTGAAACTATAGAAGAAGTTTTACTAACCAATTGGTTTGTTCCACTTGCAACTCCGTTCACTGCCTGTGCGGCAGCACCTTCGGTTGTAGCTGATCCTTTATGGAATATTCTCGATACGACCCGCTTAGTTCTCACACTGATTTCTTCTATCATTTCAACCGTTTCGCGAATCGATTGACTCACAGTAATTTTAGTTTCTAGGTATGAATCGTATACAAATTTATTCGAGCCAGAAATGGAATCTGAAATCAAATTATAAATCCTATTTCGCCAATCAAGCAAAGCAATCTTAATTTTATAAGTTGCTGAAGCAGCATTTTCTTCAATTTCAGCCACTTGAGTTTTTGTAGAAATATCTTCAACTAAACGCCTTGTAAAAAGTTTAGTATCGTCCCATAAAACCACAAAGATTTGCAATGAATTATGAATGACATGTTTAAACATAGCTACTGTCTCTAAAGTTGCATCTTTTATAATGCTTTCCGATTCGTGTAGTGCAGATTTGGTTTCAGTAATCGAATTTTTAACTGCTTCGTTCACAGCAGAAACTGATTTTGACGTTAACTCTCCTGTTTTGGATAATGCTTTTTTTGTTTCCGATTTGGTTTGCTCTACTATTTGTTGTGTTCCTTGAATTGCATTTTTAACAGTCTCTTTGGTTTCAGGAACAAGACCTCCTAAGCAATAGAATAATGAGTTACCCTAAATATGCCAGCCTCAAAATAAGATAAATTTAATTTATTTCAAAAGAAGTAATTAAAAAAATCAATTATACTTGAAAATTAACGAAAAAATTAATCAACAATTAAATTATCCAATAATTTAAATAAAAGTTAGTAAGAAAAAATAAATGTTTATAAGTACCCTTTTCAAGATTGTTTGTTGGATTATTACATCTAGATTTCTTATCCATATTTACTTTTAGAGAGATTGATAAAAATGTTCTAGTGGCATTCACGTTTCCAATTTCTTGAATAAATGTCCAGTCTTCGCATGGCACATTGAGTTCTTTGAAATCAAAACCAACTTTTAATAACATTGGCGCAATTAAAGATGAACCCTTACATGGAACAACATATGATAAAATTATATTTAATTTAAGTTAGTAAAAATAAATAAAAATGTATGCTGATACGTACAGGTTTCAGATGACAATTTTCTTGACCAGTTAGCAATATTTTTCTTAAAACTATAGAGTCCAAATTATTATTTTTTGATGTGGATTTGTCTTTTCCAAAAGTATCGCATATTGAGTGCTTTGATATGAATCGTTTACTACCATGATTATCTATCCAATAATTTCTCACCTATGTAAAACATTCACAAATAAATTTATTTTTATTTCTGTAAAAAATAAATTTAGATAAAAATTCTAATATTTACCCAAAGTTTAGTGCTTGATTCTAATATTTCTACTCTCGCTTTAGGCACTTGCCCCTTGACAATAATTAGTTCGTTTTCTGTTCCACTAATTTTCAAGGCAACAATATTTGCCTGATAACTATAATTTTTCTTCTACAAAAAAAACAAAAATTGAATGAAGTTACAGCAACAATGTAGATAATAGAAAACATCAACTCTTACGGAAATTTTTACAGAAGTGGAATGAGATGTGTGGCCTTGATGACGATTATGGCTAGTATGTACCGAATGACTAGTTGAACTACTTCCTTGGTGATGAGAACGGGACTCCCCTGATTTATGTCTATGCTGCTGTTTGCCGGCGTGTAAGTGATGCTCACTAGATTCGTGGCCCGAATGACTACCGGAATGATGTAAACCACTGTGGTGTAGGCTAGAGTGTCCAGATTTATGCCCGTGTTGTCCAATATGTGAATTATGTCCCCTTGATTGATGGCCCGAGTGACTACTGCTTTTATGATGCCTACTATGGTGAGCACCCGAATGTCCAAAATGATGACTAGATTTACTTTCATGATGGCTAGAACTAGATTCACTCGATGCATGACCATGGTGTCGTTTACCCGAATGCTGTCCGCTGGATTCATGCTTAGATTCGTGACTGGAACGATGTTTTCCACTATTTCCTTGATGTGATCCACCTAGATGGATACCAGAATGTCCTGTAAGTCCGATCGAACTGCTACCTTGATGACTAGAGCTAGATTCTCCAGATCTGTGACCATGGTGTCCTATGCCAACATGTGAGTGGTGTTTGCTCGATTTGTGTCCCGAATGGCTACTGGATTTATGGTGACTGTTGTGATGAGAACCAGAGTGTCCAGAATGGCTTCCATGACCACTTGAACTGCTTCCCCCCAGATGTAAACCACCTAAATTTATACCCGACTCTCCACTCGAACTGCCAGCGTGATGACTGGAGCTAGATTCTCCAGATCTGTGACCATGGTGTTTGCTCGATTTGTGTCCCGAATGGCTACTGGATTTATGGTGACTGCTTTGGTGAGTACCAGAGTGTCCGGATTGGCTACCATGACCACTTGAACTGCTTCCCCCCAGATGTAAACCTCCTAAATTTATACCCGACTCTCCACTCGAACTGCCAGCCTGATGACTGGAGCTAGATTCTCCAGATCTGTGACCATGGTGTCCTATGCCGACATGTGAATGGTGTTTGCTCGATTTGTGTCCCGAATGGCTACTTGATTTATGGTGACTGTTGTGGTGAGAACCAGAGTGTCCGGAGTGGCTACCATGACCATTTGAACTGCTTCCTCCCAGATGTAAACCTCCTACATTAATACCAGAATTTTTACTGGAACTGCCACCGTGTTGACTAGAGCTAGATTCTCCAGATCTGTGACCATGGTGTCCTATGCCAACATGTGAATGGTGTTTGCTCGATTTGTGTCCCGAATGGCTACTGGATTTATGATGACTGCTGTGATGCGAACCAGAGTGTCCAGAATGGCTTCCATGACCACTTGAACTACTTCCTCCCAGATGTAAACCTCCTACATTAATACCAGAATTTTTACTGGAACTGCCACCGTGTTGACTAGAGCTAGATTCTCCAGATCTGTGACCATGGTGTCCTATGCCAACATGTGAATGGTGTTTGCTCGATTTGTGTCCCGAATGGCTACTGGATTTATGGTGACTGCTTTGGTGAGTACCAGAGTGTCCGGAGTGGCTACCATGACCATTTGAAGTGCTTCCTCCCAGATGTAAACCTCCTATATTGATACCAGAATGTTCACTGGAACTGCCACCATGATGACTAGAGCTAGATTCTCCAGATTTGTGACCATGGTGTTTGCTCGATTTGTGGCCTGAATGGCTACTTGATTTATGGTGACTGTTGTGGTGAGAACCAGAGTGTCCGGAGTGGCTACCATGACCACTTGAACTGCTACCTCCCAAATTTAAACCTCCTATATTGATACCAGAATGTTCACTGGAACTGCCACCATGATGACTAGAGCTAGATTCTCCAGATCTGTGGCCATGGTGTCCTATGCCAACATGTGAATGGTGGTGTCCCGAATGGCTACTGGATTTATGATGACTGCTGTGGTGAGAACCAGAGTGTCCGGAGTGGCTACCATGACCATTTGAAGTGCTTCCTCCCAGATGTAAACCTCCTATATTGATACCAGAATGTTCACTGGAACTGCCACCATGATGACTAGAGCTAGATTCTCCAGATTTGTGACCATGGTGTTTGCTCGATTTGTGGCCGGAATGACTACCTGATTTATGATGACTGTGGTGGTGAGAACCAGAGTGTCCGGAGTGGCTACCATGACCATTTGAACTGCTCCCTTCCAGATGTAAACCTCCTAAATGGATACCAGACTTTCCATTCGAACTGCCATCATGATGACTGGAGCTAGATTCTCCAGATCTGTGGCCATGGTGTCGTATACCAACATGTGTATGGTGTCCGCTTGATTTGTGTCCCGAATGGCTACGAAATTTGTGATTACTACTATGATGAGTACTGGAGTGGCTGCTGTGTTGATTTGAACTATTTTCTTGATGTTGTGAACTTGATCCACCCGTTTTATGCCCCGATTTACTACCTGAATGATGGTTATTGCTACCTCCCAAATGTAAACCTCCTATACTGATACCAGATTGTCCACCTGAACTACTACTATGATGATTAGAGCTAGATTCTCCAGATCTGTGACCATGATGTTCTATGCCAATACTAGTGTGGTGACGACTCGATTCATGTCCGGAATGCTCGTTAGAACTCGTTCGGTGGTTAGTATTCTCACTTGCATTTGCTTCTCCTTTTTGTGCTTCATGTTTATGCAGTTTTGTGGATTTATGATGCTTTGTTATTTTGTATTTGTGGTGTTTCGTTACATGAACTTTATGGTCATGATGTTTATGTTTGCGATACTTATGCTTGTGGTATTTTCCAACGCGATACTTGTGTTTGTGTATTTTTTTAACGTGTACCTTATGCTTATGATTTTTTTTCGAATGACCTTCATGTTTTTGTTTGTTACTCATTCCATGTTTTACGGATCTAGATCCTTTGTTTTGATTTGAGCCACTGGCAGCTTCTGAACCAGTAGAGCCTCCAGACTCACTAGCTTCTAAAGAACTACCAGATCCTCTTGCGCCACCAACATTTTCAGAACCACTTCTTGCACTACCTTCACCTTCTGACCATCGGACACCTCCAGATCTTCTAGCAGATCCTGTTTTCCTACGACCACCACGTCCTCTATATCCATAACGGTAATTATAATGTTTGTTGCCACTACCGTTCCATCCATTGTATCGATATCTGTATCCAGGATATTTGTATCCATAGCGATATGATCTCGATCCTCCTGAAAAAATGTAAATGTTCTGTACTTCATTTTTTAGCTCCATATACACTTGAAGTATGCATTTTTAGTACATAAGTATTGCATCATAATAGAGCGACGGGCCAATCTTTAAAATTAACCTAGCATCAACTGCTTGTTAGATAGCTATTGTGCATAATAATAAATATCAATGAATGAGTAAGAGTTTAAAAATAATTAAATTACATAAATAGAGAAATTCGTCCAAAGCCAATTTTTGTACCAAACTATACGTACCCTTTCTAGATTGTTGTCTTGCAGCCCCATTAGATCTTGAGTTAGAGTATCTATACTCAGGTGATCCGTAGCGATAGTGGTACGATTTGGCAACTCCTAAGCATTAATTCAAAAGTATTCATGTTACGTTTGATAGAGTATGAAAAGCTAAGTATATATCAATTCATTTTTTATTATTAAAACAAAACAATTAAAATGATCAAATTCACAATTAATATTTTACTTGCAAAGGTGGAATTTAACAAAATAAATATCATTAAGGTTGTATACTTTCGTTGTATTTTCATTAGCCGGATATGTGCTACCGCACCTCTTGATAATCATCATTATTAAAAAAACCTTATTTACTTTAAATTTATCGAAAATTGTCTTAACAAGTCTCTAAAACAATCGAAGTTAGATTTGTCGAATAAAATACCTTTTCTAGATTGCTTTGATCCACTTGCGCCTCTGGATCCTTCACTTACGACACCACTGGATCCAGAGTTTGAATTCGAAATTCCATAAGAATCCTGCTGACCAAATCCAGGCGATCCGTAGTGATAATGGTACGTTTTTCCATCACCTTAAAATGTATTTTAAATTTCATAGCTTTCAATAAATGATATTAAGAAATTCGATAATGTATTAAGTTTTTATCATAAAAAATAACATTTATTAAATAATACGGCAATGGACGCGGTACCTCCTTGCATCAACCTGTGTTGATACAAGTTGTTTTTTAAATCGCGAAAGCTAGATGCTACTTTGGCATCCTCTTGGAAAACTCACGATTTTATATATATTTTTATCTTAATCAAGAGTCAAACACATCAAACGATGATAATTCAACCCTTTACTTAACTCAAATTTTATTAAATAAATTGTACACAAACGAAAAAGTTAGGAATCGGACTGGACTCGAACCAGTGCCACACGCCTATAGCCGGCGCGTACTCTACCATCTGAGCTACCGAGTCCTCTTTCCAAACTCATCGTTATTTGTGTACAAGAGCAGATGTTATTATTTTTGACTCTAATTATTTAATTTTTATATTTTTTTTATTTTTTTTTTTTTTTTTTTTTTTTTTTTTTTTTTATTTTTTTTTGATATTATCGTTTGATGTGTTTAACTCTTGATTAAGATAAAAATATATATAAAATCGTGAGTTTTCCAAGAAGATGCCAAAGTAGCATCTAGCTTTCGCGATTTAAAAAACAACTTGTATCAACACAGGTTGATGCAAGGAGGTACCGCGTCCATTGCCGTATTATTTAATAAATAAAACTGGGGCGCGAAAATAAACTAGCAATTTACGGGTAAGGATTGCTTAGAATACAAAAAATAACATTGTTTGGAATTATTTTAATCAATTTTTCTTTGATTTTGCAATCATAAAATATATTTGAATGGCATGAATAAAATTCATGGACATCTGGAACTATTATCAGACTCGTTATTTTTTTTTTTTTTCATAAAAAGCTTTTTCAAAATTAAAATTAATGTATGTGTATACTTACCTAAGTTTCCCTTCCCATTGGATGAAGTTGAATAGCTTACCTCCTGTACATTGAGTAATCACAATATGGCATACCGAGCGCATCAGTATGATCAACGTTTAACAAATTCATGAAGATTAAGTAAATTTAGAAAAAAAATATTTTCGATAATTAGCACGAAGAAATGCAAAAAAATTACCTGCTTATAAGCATATGTGTGTCCTGTAAATAAGTACAAAATCATGCACAAATTTAGCACTAACAAAGGCGTCCGCACAGTCGCCATGGTGTTTAGCATACTGAACAATTCGCCGAACTAATGAACTTATTGAAATGTACACATATACTGTACATTTTTAATACAAGCAAGAACTTATCATTTTTATGATTCTCGTGTCCTCGTAGGAATAATTATTAGATCATTCGTTTTTATTCTAATGTTAAAACATTTCAGATAAAATAATTTTCATTTTTTTTTGTAAGCAAACGACAATGATAATTTGTTGCACGATCATTACAAGTTTTTCATCGAGAACTTCCTTCAGCAATTTTTAATCAAACGAAAAACTGTGCAATTTTCAAAAGACATCATGCACCCCCAAAATTATACACCTCAGGTACATGTTTAGAAATTTCGTTCATTGACGTACTGTATTCGTAGAAAGGATCGAAAAATGTTTTGATGTGTGTAATTTTGTTCGATTCTTTCCCACTATACATAAATATATACGTAGATCTCTCCATTCAAGTTTGATCTGCTGCATCTCAAAAGCAAAAAGAGCAATGAAGACCCAAGTGGTCCTAAGAACTATACGACGATACACGCGAAATAACCCCACCCGCCGGTTGCATTGCCTTGCAAAAGGACCTTTGCGCGCTCGATATAGCTTTTATAAGCAAGTCCTCGTGTCAGGCACTTTTTTTGAGCGCTCCTCGAATAAAAATTAGGCTTTTTACAAACGACGGCGAATGACATATAATTTTAATAATCAATCGTATGAACGTCGTTTAATTTTATATATAATGACTGATGCTAAGCACAAAAATCCCTCCTCCGCCTATATCTGTACGTGCCTGGCGAACCAAGCCATGAGAACCGATGGAGCGAAACGAGCATTGAATGCATAGTTGTGGTTTTCTTCATTACAGTGTTTGACGTTAAAGGCAATACGCCACAAGAATTTAAACATTGCAGTTTTAATTCAAGTCTTTCACACATCTATATTTTACTATATTTTATCTATATTTTATCTATATTTTAATCGCTATTGAAAAGCATAGCTTGGCATTACCCAGATTTTTCAGATGATAGAAACGTTTTCATCGTATTTAATTACCAGTTCACAAATCAGAAACTGAAATTTACCCTAAATTAAAATGTTTGAATGAAATATAAAAAATCTACACATTTTTTAAGGATAAACAATAAAAACCCTTTATTCGTCGCATGAATCTTACACTTGTTTTTGAACATTTGAACAACTTTAAGTCATTTTTAATAACCTTTGACTCGTAATAGGCTCACGCATAAGTTCAAGTTCTAAAAATTTGTATATATTTTTAGATTAAAATTCTTCGTTCGCATTACGTAATCACAATTTAAAAAATATCAGTATTTTAGTCAAGCAATAACTTTTTTTCATTTTCCCTGTTTCCATTATTCAACTACATAAAAATTTGAATTTAAAAAAGTATTTACTTTCGATTGAATGTAGAAGGAAATAGGCTCTAAAAGTATTTTTTCTCTAATTTGTTACGATAATTATCAAAATTAGTAAACATTATAAAATGTGTATCTATATAGCTTTGAACTTAAAACTTATTAGCTTATTACTCAAATTGCTTCTACTAGCTTTTTTCTAAGTGTAAGCATCCTACGGACGATTTTAACTTTTTACAAATTTAATTAAATATATTAGAAGAAGGGTACAGAATAAGAATTACTCTGAACGTTATGAAGCACCCCATACAAAATATAACTTGAATTGAACAATATATACTATCATTAATCTTAATTATTTGTAACATTTAAACAAATGGATTTCATGAATAATTAAATAAACATTACAATGATTGCATTCCCCAGTTTAATGCAAGGGTAATTTGCATTGAAAATTCTTTGTCTATCGCGACAATGTCCTGCTTTAACAATCCAGTCCTTATTCGTATTTTCCGCATTCGAGAGTAAAAAAAATGTTTTTCAACGCTCAACTTCCTGCGAACCCCCCGCAATATATAATAAAAATAAATGCATTGTCATCCCAGCGTCGAGCGGTCACCATGCTGCTGCTCAAGGTATAAATGGCAAAACAATTACGGCAGCGATTTTATCATAATACACAAGTCCTACCAGGTTTTTTCACCCACACATACACGCGCACGTACGTATGCGCACGCGAAAATACATAAGTCCACAATGTGGTACCTAATAGATAATTCTGCCTCCCCTACGCGAAATACACCGGAAGAACAACCGGCACGTCCGGTGAGGCTCATTAACGCCTGCGTATGGATTTTTCCCGACACACTGACGTCGGCGCTTAATTTCATTTGACGCGCTTACGCGTGCATATTATACACGTAAGTTTTTTATCGTTATAATTTTTTTTTTATAAGTAGACAAACGAATGACAGAACTAATGTTGATTTTTCCCGTCTTTGTGAATGTATTGTACGTGACAACCAGATTAAATGTTATAACTAATAGAGAGTTAAATTTACTCACGTTTGTCAAGGTGTCAACAATTTTTTTTACTTCTACATGAAACTGAATTTCAAGAATTTATGGTAAAAAAAATTTTGCCATAAAGAACGTTAGTTGGTGAAATGGTTGAATTTTAGCTCATCAATGTGGTAAAATAATTGACAAATAAACTTTTTGTGACTTACAATATCGTATAAGACAGTGATAATAATTACTAGCATTAAAAAGTTTTGTCTGGTTGATAAAAAACTTGAACTAGTATAAAAATGTTTTACTCTTGCCAATCTTAATTCATTGTGATAAATCTCGAATTTCTCTCTTGAGTAAAAAGAGCTGTGAACTGCTTTTATTTCAGACATTCGATAACCAACTTAATCGTTCGTTTTAGCGCGTGAAACAGCATTTTTTACGTTCCCAATAAATTAAATTTACTTAAATAGATAAATACAGCCAGATAGAATTACGCATTGAAAGCCGTATACTAAGTAACATAATAGCGTGAATGTTAATCGCTCGGCCGATGAAAACTTTTTTGATTTGTCATCGAGCATTTATTCACATCCTACAGGAGTTGATATAATAAAAAAACAAAAGAATCCGACAATTAGCGATAGTGTTCAGGCTTACATTATGCTAAAAAAATAGATTAGTTTATAATAGTTTCTGTATTGTAGCCGCTTTCTGAAAAAGGCAGTCTCGGTAATTGTCATCAAATCGACCTTTGTGTGTCGTCGTATATAGCCCTCGAAGAACCGGATACGACAACATCCCATAAGTGGTAATTTTTTTCTTGAGAATCACGCTAAAATCGAAATATTCCCCTTTTGCGGAATAAAAGAGGCGAATATATCTATTATAAAACGATTTCTGGTTTTGAACGCGGCATTTAAGTAAAAAGAACTATAGATCGAGGTTGTCCCGCTGGTTTCGGCGCAAGAGTCCTTATACCGCGTCTTTGTAACAATTTCTCCTCGTAATTCTGTCCAATTTTCAAAGAGTTCAATTTTTATCAGCATCCTTGGCATAATTATCATTTTCGAAATAAAAGACAAAGTGGCAAGAAGACGTTTTGAGGCTGAGCTGTCGCGGCAACATAAGCGCGGTTTATGAATGGATTCCTAAGGATCTTTAAAATGTTGACCGAAGTCAATCGGCCTGTAAGAAACTCGTACAATTCCTGGTACATTTTCAGAAATTAGCGCTCGACACAGCTCCTGCAGTGAAATAGCCGTGTAGCGTCGAAAAGACCACGCGGCTATGCACGTATACACTACGACAGATGGTCAGGTGCTGCTGCTCTCTGGGCGCTGCGCTTTTTTGTTGTTGCGTTCGAGCGCTAATTGATGCTCCACGCTCTGTTATATAGCTACCAACTCGCGAGTGTATATGTACGTATATATATGATATATAATGCAATGCTTCCTGAATGCAATCGTGTGTGGATGGTTGGGCAGGCGCACGTCGAGCGCTCTTATATGGATTTTGCCCGCTGCACGATTCTATCTCTCCTTGATCTGCGTTTGTGCGTGCGCTGCGATCGCGTCAGGCACCGAAGCATTGTTATATGCGTATCATGAAGTAGCCGGCGAACGAGTCAATGGACTTTTGCCGTGCGCAAAATAGCGCGTTTACTGATGTGTGCGTCGCGCGCTCCACTGCAACTTTATTGAATGTTTTCTTTTTTCGCATTAATGTACTCGAATGAACGTGTCGGTGTAGAAGGTTTTATTATCCTCTCTCGATATTGATTTTATTTAAAATTTCGATTTGCATGTATTCCATTGTCGAGTGCGCACGTTTCGTATGCAATTATTGCGACGATGCTTTTATCGATTTGTTTCTCATACTACAGCAAATATTGTGTTGCACAACATATAGTTACAAAAGTTAATGACGATCGGATATAAAAATCGAGCGATTTTCGTAATGTCGGATAAATAGTCCAACAAGAGTGTATCAAGCAGGATAATTGAATTTCTGAAAGGCCCGCGTATCGAGTATAATGCGGCCGTGTATGAAATATATAAAGACAAGACATCGCCACAGCACACAGTCCTTATTCCTACATTACTCGGATATTAATGGTTCGATCAATCGAATACCGCAATGATGGCTCGTCTATTGTTCGATTCGTTATACCACGTCTCTTTTTTTTTGCTTCCTTTATATGCCTCGTAACGGCGATCGCGGCATATACCATGTCATTCTAGCCATTAATACACGAGTACGGAAGATTGCGTTTTGTCGTAATTCTATTGATAATTAGCGTCACGATTCGAATCAATATCGTTTTCTCGATACACAATATTACTCGTGAAAATAAAATAATTGCACGATGTACATGTAAGTGTATGTGCGAGGCTAAATTAACGATGGGAAAAATCTTTCCTAAAATAAACACGATATTGTATTATGCGAGGCCTAGTAATTATATATCTTAGTCATGTGCATATTATAATACAGTTCACACAATGCGTACCGCCGCACAAATAATGTCCCCCCTCGAGAGCGATGTCGTGTACTCTTGCGGTGGTGGTTAATATACATTTTTTCACTCGAAAAGCATAATGTGCGACCTTTTCTCCGGCTTTCTGCGGCTGCATAAACCAACAAAGTTTTT